TGGTGAGAAACGGCCGATGTGTTAATAAAAAAAAATTGTAATTAACCCCACTGGGCAACCCTTGTGCATTTAGAGCTTTAGTTTTGAGTGTAATAATAATAATAATAACCCCATTGGGGCTGGACATCATATCTCCCCAACAACGTTTATTGGAGAGGCTGCAAAATTCCCAACGAACACCAAAGACACCCGTTAATGTTTTTCTTGTGCTGGCGTCATCAAACATCCCGCACAAGCAACTCTAAAATCAAGTAATTTTCTTTCCCACATTCACACGCTTAATTTTGAGTCGGATTTACAGAGTTCAAGTTTATCTGTGTCCCTACGCTTACGATGTCTCTTTTTAATAAGATCTTGTGGGTGGGGCATGAAGTATCTGAGTTTCTCCCAAAATTTGGCATCGCCCCACTTCACATATGTCTTCATGGAGATATAAAGTTGAAGTTTATCATCAAGTTCACTTTCTGGTGGAATCTGAAGAAAGAAATTGAATAAAATTTAAAATTATTAACAAGAAAAACAGAATTGAATGTCATTAAAGAAAGGGATGGGAAATTTGTTGCAGAATCAACTGCTTAAACTTCAAGGTTTTAAACCTTCAAGGGAGACAGCTCTTCCCCATGAATTGAATATTTATATTAATTCAAGGAAGATGCATTGATGCTGAAGGACTCTTGATCCAAAGAAATGCCTCCCATTCTCTACAGCATTCTATGACCCCTTTCAGGTTTAGTATTTCACAACAAAATTACCACATATATTTACGAGGAAGCACTAAACTTACACGAGTCATACAACACCAAGATCCAAGGAAGGGAAGGAGTGTTTCAATTCCTTGATGCAAGAGACCTCTCACTGGTATCAAGGAACTTCCCTTGTGGGGTTGACCATAAAATAAATTAACAAAAGCATTAACATCCATCAATATTCACTGAGAAAAGAATTCTTTTCAGATACTTACACAGTTACTAGCGGAAGAAAATCAACATCTTAATATGGCACTATGACTTTTTATACCAACTTTGGCTTGCCTTGTTAGTTCTTAAGTTCAGCCTTCACACCAATGTGCTGATATAACCCATACTGGGTGCTTTGACTCCCAGAACACCCTCCAGGTATACTCCAGGTATACCTTCCACTTCCCTAGATTAACCCTGACTCACGAAATCGTAATGACACGATTGCAAACAAACCATACCACGGGCGGGATTTGAACCCGAGGTCAGAGTCTCAATGCTCCAGACCGTCGCGTTAGCCACTGGGCCAGCTAGCTTCAATAAGATTCGTCCAACTAGCGGGAGATTCGTCTGTAAAAACTTGCATTTGTGGACACAGTGGTGCCTATGCTAACCTTCCTACAGTGTAGAAATACACCTAGTTGGACGAATCTTATTGAAGCTAGCTGGCCCAGTGGCTAATGTGACGGTCTGGAGTTTTGAGACTCTCTGACTGCGGGTTCAAATCCCGCCCGTGGTATGGTTTGGATAAATTAACCCTGATTGTCTCCTATTTCCCAGGCACTGTACAGCTCTTAGGGGTTAAGCACTTCCCACAGATACAATTAAAATATATACATATAGCACCTGTGATCAGTTTTAAAAGCTTGCACCTACCTCTCCATAAACAATGACAATTAGCCTGTTAGTTCTGTCTTGCAAGGCCTGAGAGTGAGCAGCCTTGAACTCCAACTGACCCCATACGCTTTCAATGAAGTTTGATGAGAGCACCACCAGTGTCCGTCTACTGGCTTCCACACTCTGCAGGATCTGGTTCTGGATGTACTCGCCAGGGATCCAGTCACGATAATGGAGACATACTCGGTACTTGGGGTCACCAGATTCAAGCCCAGGAACCAAAACTTTATTAACAAATTCTTCATCCTGTTGAGGTACAATAAATTATGAAAATTATATAATTAAAAGTGTACAAATACATTACATACTTGAAGACAAAGCATACAATACCGGCAAGATGGGATAAGACAAATGCAGAATAATGCGATCCTTTATTCACATTTTGCCCATACAGTGGGTTTATAAAAAAAAAAAAAAACATTGTTTGGGTGAAACGCTGTCAATCAGTGATCACATTACACGTACTGCATTTGTCTCTCTTTACATTACATGCATGACTGCCTTGGGCCAAACTGGTTGGGGCATCCCCTACCAGGGCTTCACATACTTGGGTGGCTACAGTCAAAGACATTTAAGTAATGCCCAACATTTCCCAAATATGCATTACACCAGTAATGTTGCAAATCTCAAATTCAGCTTTACTAATTAATGTTTACAATGGTAAGATTACATCAACAAAAGTAATAAGGTACATACACAGAGAAATGTATATACTCTACTTTATCTCAGTGTATACCTAGATATTCCCTCAAAGAGGTTCCTTGATGCCTGTAAGGGACCTTTGATCCAAGGAACTGGAAATGCCCCCCATGTTTCTCAATCAAACCTGATAACACCACATTCTCCAACCCCAACCCGTTTTGTGCTCCCTCGTGAATAAAATAATAATAATCGGTGTACATATGTCAAGAGGTAAATCTCTGTTTATATACTTTACAATGAGTAGGCCAATTTTAAGGATTGACATATTCTTGACAGTTAATATACAGGTGAATTGCAACCACAAATGATCCATGTGCAGTCAATAGGCTTTAAGTTTAACAAACTAAAAAGAAATTAATGTTTTATTTGAAGTTACTGGAAGACATACCTTGTGAGAGTAACTGATGAAGGCATCATATTTCTTGTCAGCATCCATTTCATCTTCAGTTACGGCCCACAGGCACATGTGGTGTGTGAACAACCACACTTTAATTCCTTGCTTGTACTTGTAAAAACTGACAGTCCCTGTGTGTAGGAAATTAATTGTCAGTAAGCCTCCAATAGCAAGGGGTTAGTAATTCCTTCTCCTGTGTACATTACTGATTTTAAAAAGCGAAACTTTTGTTTTTCTTTGGGCCACCCTGCTTTGGTGGGATATGGCTGGTTTATTGAAAGAAGAAGAAGCCTCCAATACTGTAAAAAGAATCAAATTGCATTTTTCTAAGTGCAACACGCATTTAACTATATTTCAAATACTAAATACAGTGGACCCCCGGTTCGCGATATTAATCCGTTCCTGAGAGCTCATCGTAAACCAAAATTATCGGAAAGCGAATCAATTTTCCCCATAAGAAATAATGGAAATCAAATTAATCCGTGCAAGACACCCAAAAGTATGAAAAAAAAAACTTTTACCACATGAAATATTAAGTTTAATGCAATAGAACAATTACAATAACAACAATAACAATAGAATAATAACAATAGAATAATTGACACTTACCTCTAATGAAGATCTGGTGATGACTGATGGGATGGGAGGAGGGGAGAGTGTTGAACCTATTGTTTAGAAAGGGGAATTCCCCTCCATTAGGACTTAAGGTAGCAAGTCCTTTTCCAGGGTTACTTCCCTTCTTCTTTTAATGCCACTAGGACCAGCTTGAGAGTCACTGGACTTCTGTCGCACAACATATCTGTCCATAGAGGCCTGTACCTCTCGTTCCTTTATGACTCTCCTAAAGTGGTTCACAACATTGTCAGTGTAATAGTCACCAGCATGGCTTGCAATAGCTGTGTTAGGGTGATTTTCATCCATAAAAGTTTGCAGTTCAACCCACTGTGCACACATTTCCTTAATTTTTGAAGTAGGCACAATGGATTCCACAACTGGCATAGGCTTCTCAGGGTTAGCCCCAAACCTTTCAAAATCTTTCTTAATTTCCATACTAATTCTCACCCTTTTTACCACAGGGTTGGCACTAGAAGCTTTCTTGGGGCCCATGGTGACTTATTTTGCAGAAACAAGCACCAAAAACAGTGATAATATGGATAATATGGAATGTACCGAATGTATCCTTAGATGTGCGAACACCGGCTGGCTTGTAAACACTGGCACACACGGGGCAGTTCAGGCCACACGTGGACACGTCTCGTATGAATCGTATTGCATACCGGGTTTTGTAACGGGAGGCGGGAGAGATACATGATTATATACACCTGGAAAATCCTAGAGGGACTAGTACCGAACTTGCACACGAAAATCACTCACTACGAAAGCAAAAGACTTGGCAGACGATGCAACATCCCCCCAATGAAAAGCAGGGGTGTCACTAGCACGTTAAGAGACCATACAATAAGTGTCAGGGGCCCGAGACTGTTCAACTGCCTCCCAGCATACATAAGGGGGATTACAAACAGACCCCTGGCAGTCTTCAAGCTGGCACTGGACAAGCACCTAAAGTCGGTTCCTGACCAGCCGGGCTGTGGCTCGTACGTTGGTTTGCGTGCAGCCAGCAGCAAGAGCCTGGTTGATCAGGCTCTGATCCACCAGGAGGCCTGGTCACAGACCGGGCCGCGGGGGCGTTGACCCCCGGAACTCTCTCCAGGTAAACTCCAGGTAATACCGGATTTATCGGATTTATCCAGGTAAACTCCAGGTACCGATAGCATCGCGAACCGGGGGTCCACTGTATATAAATACATGATTCTCCCTAACATTGTGATTACCATAACTCTTGTGTCAAAGTTTAAATGGCATCAGACAATTTTTTATTTAACACGCCAGCCGTCTCCCACAAAGGCAGGGTGAATCAAAAAAGAAACACTTTCAACATCATTCACACTATCACTGTCTTGCCACACGCTCTCAGATACAACAGTTTAGGTGTCACTTTAAAACAATAAATATCCCGAACAAAATATTCACCCTAAATAATTGTTCTTAGGAGCAACATTAATGATGTACTTCCAACAAAACACTCGCCAAGAAACAACCCAGTACAGTATTTCACCATCTTCTAAAGCTGGAGTCTTCACTCTTCCATGTGGACAATGTGATGAGAAATATATGAGTGAAACCTATCAACTAGACCAAACAAATATAATTATGCTTGCAGTAGGGACAACCATGTTGTCCACAGGGACACTACAGGCCACCTCATGAATTGGAGACATGCCCAACTTATCTTGACCAAACTATAAGACATAAATACTTGGAAGCCTACCTGGATTTATACCAACAAATGTAGGTAACAGGAATATGAAGGGTATTCTACAGCTCCACACATCATTTAAGGCCTCACTTAGATTATGAGACTCAGTTCTGATGTTTATACTACAGAACAATGCATTGGAAAACATACAGAGACGGATGACAAAATTAATGTAGTGTATAAGGAAGCTTGCATATCAAGATAAGTTAAGAACTCTAAACCCACATTTGAAAGACAAAGAATAACAGAAGAAATGATGGAGATATACAATTGGAAAACAAGTACAAAGAGATATAATAAGTAGGGAACTAAGAATATCTTACCAAGAGAAATTTGAAACAACGAAAGGATATAGGAAATTACTGATTTGGCAAAGGAGCTATAGATGAGCGAAACAACCTGCCAAGTAGTTACTGAACAAATATACGAGTGATAGCCGAGGGTCTGAGAAAGACCTGACAAGTGGGGGGCCAGAAGGCCTATTGTAGGCCTACTGCAATGCTGTTTCTTGTTCTTCTTCCTGTTTTAAGTAATTTATTCTTCATGTTAATATTCGGGTGAGTTACAGCCATAATAACCCACACAGATTCAACAGGATTTAAACCTAGTATCTAGCTTTAAGAGAATACACTAAAACAATATCCAAATCTAATTTGTATACAGAAACCAATAGGCAAGTGTTTAGTCTCATTTTTCTAATTAACTGCTAGTGAAGGGATATCATATCAGAGCTTCCCTCCCATTCCTTGGATCAAACATGATTACCTCACCATTTCCCAGGCACTGTAGCAATAGTGTTTATTGCATCCACATAACTACTACATAGCTCGGTTGGTAGCGCACTCAGTTCACACACTGAGGTACAGGGATCAATCCCCGGTACAGGTGGAAATATCGGGGCATATTTCCTTAAGACACCTGCTGTCTGTGTTCACCTAGCAGTAAATAGGTACCTGAATGTTATCTGACTGGTGTGGGTTGCATCCTGAGGGCAAAATTAACCTAATTGGCCCAAAATGCTCTGCATAACCAGGGGTTTTCCATATAGTATGTCAATGATGTCAGCTATGGTCTGTGTAAGTTGTATCACATACTTATTATTATTAATATAGTATAGTATTAATCTACATTGCCATCTTATCAAGAACATTCAGAAATACCAATGTTATACAAAAACTGTGTTGACTAAAAAAATTGATAGATCTCATAAAAGGTAAAATAATATAAGTGAAGAGAGAAAATGAAGATGAAAGAAGAGACTGGGAATACTGTAACTTACCAAGCACAGCAAAGAGAATGAGGAATATCAAGATAGCCACAATAGTGATGATAACCATAGGCTGCATGAAGAAGGGGCACAGGGAGTTCTCACTGATGGTCATCAGAGATTCAGCCTCATCCTTACACCGTATGTCATTAAAGTCATTAACCTGTAAGGAGAATGGGAATATGTATATATTATACTGCGAGTTAAGAGACTCCTCTAGGTAGGTTTTTCGAGGCTGCTGAGGGACTGTATAACTCCTATGTAGTATTTAGCTCTCCACATTAGAATAATAAAAATAATAGAGGAGGGGTGTCCAATTTACCGAAAATTCCGTTATAATCAAAGTTTCTATTAAGTAAATGTAATTTGCTTAATACGGCACAAAAAGGTTGTCTCTACCACAGCAATGAATGGACAAGTCCTGGATGAAGCCTGGACCATACAAACCTGCAAATAAGCAGAAATGGTCCATTTTATCGTGCATATGGCAGGACCATAAAGCCATTCAATATAGCAGTTTGGTCCACTTCATGATTATTTCAATCTGACATCCCTTTGTCCACCAACATTTCTGTCCATTTTATCCAACTTCACTTTACGAAGAGTTCATTATACAGGACTTTTACTGTATGTTGTTTCAAGAGGTTCACAGGAGTTCACACACCAAGCAAATACGTACATGCAATAAGAAGGATGAAAAAGAAACAGTAAAGTTTATAATCAAGAGTAACAACATAAGCATCAGGATCCTAAGCTCTGAAGAAGCACCCCTCAAGGAAGGTTCCTTGATGTTGGTGAGGGGCTCTTGATTTAGGGAATTGGATCTGTGCTCCAGTTCCCCGAATTAAGCCTGAATGCCTTCCACATCCCCCCCAGGTGCTGTATAATCCTCCGGGTTTAGCGCTTCCCCCTTGATTATAATAATAATAATCTGAAGAAGAAATGTGCTGTCAACTGAGACTTGAAACCATGAACAGATTCCTGAATTTTAAAGACAATGATGATAAAATACTACTACCAAAACTATTACTACTACTAATAATAATAAAATATAAAAATGCAAAGACCATAAGAAACTATTAAGGTAGTAAAGTTTTAAATGTATTCTTGATAATTCTCAATAAAGTAAAAATAAATGTAAAAATAACTATTAAAAAAGATCCAAAGCTCCAACAAAGTCTAAGATTTATTTCTTTGCAAAGGTTACAACGTGTAACTACTATCAAGCTGGCACTGGACAAGCACCTAAAGTCAGTTCCTGATCAGCCGGGCTGTGGCTCGTACGTTGGTTTGCGTGCAGCAACAGCCTGGTTGATCAGGCTCTGATCCACCAGGAGGCCTGGTCACAGACCGGGCCGCGGGGGCGTTGACCCCCGGAACTCTCTCCAGGTAAACTCCAGGTATCATGCTGGGAAATTTCGGGCAGCCTAATCCTAATACGTACTTAAAGACTACTTAAGTCTAGACAAAATAAAAGTGGTTGCACATCAACATTACCTTCCTTGATGGCACGTGTAGGAAGTTCAAGAAGTCAATTGTATCACAGCTACACATCCATGGATTATTTCCCAGGCTGAGATTCATATCTGTTATATTGAAGAATTCCAAAAGTGATTCTGGTAGAGCCGTGAGATTATTCCCTCGTACATCGAGGGCTTTCAAGCTTTCTGGGAAGTACGATTCGTTTATGAACGAGAGTTTATTGTTCGGTATAGTCAAGTTGACAAGTCTTGAATACATGGGATCTTGCAGCTTATCTAAATGTGTAATGCTGTTGTTCCTCATGTTTAAGGTGATGAAATAATCTTTCCTAATACCATAATTATCAATGTCACACGTTGGTAAGTCTTTGAGATCCTTATAAGAGCAATCAATGATAAGCATCTCGTCATGTGGGCGCCAATAAGAGGTGCAGTTTGAACATGGATCCTGCTTGCAAACTAGGAGTCTTGTATCTACGGTCAATAATTTCTGAGTTCCTCGTTCAGGAATCTTGCATGTTACATTATCAATATCCTCTACTCTAATTTTGAATAAATCCCCTTCTTTTGGGGTTTTTCCTTGAGCCATTCTTGCAAACTGATAGAGCATACAGTTGCACTCAAGGTAATTTCCCTCAAGTGAGAGTTCAACAAATTTTTTACTGTACTGTACTGACCATAGGTATGAGAGATCGATTATCTTTATGTCATTGTTCTTCAAGTTCAGTTTCACAGATTCTCTTAAGAATAGTAATGAATGCAAATCGATTTCCTGAATTAGATTCCCAGACAAATCAACAGATTCTAATTTCAAAAATACTGTGTTGAAGGAACCAGGAATATATTGAAATTTGTTATCATTCAGGATAATATTTTTCAATTCCGTTTGGCGAGAAAGTGGAAAGTAACTTTCAGCCGAGCTGTACAGTCCATGTAGAGACCCAACATTATTTGGAGATGGAATCTTATTGTGGCCTAAATCCAAATCTGTCAGAACAGTTTTGGGGATAAGGGAATGTTTGCTTTTAAAAAGTGCCCATCATTGTTTTTAAATTTAAAGTTTTTTCAAGGTTTTACACTTTTTAAAAGCAGTGCCCGGGAAAAATTTTCTAAAAGTCTATTATTTCCTAATCAAGTATCTCAATTTTTTTTTAAATTTAAATTCAAAATTTTTTGGGACCCTAAATTTTTTAAAGAGTTTTGGAACAAAAATTTAAGTTTTTTGACTGCTTTTAATGTCAGAAAAAACATCACCGGGACAATTTTCCCAAATTTTATTTCTTTAAAGGGATTTAGACTTGTCAGATTTTTTAATCCTTAAAAACAATTTTCCCTGAATCTAGAAAGCAGATTACTATTTAAAACCCAAATTTCTCAAAAAGGGGAACACTTAAAATAGTTCTAAAACGGTTTCACTCAAGGCATTATTTTTTAAAGACAAACATTATTTTAACCCCCTTTGTTAGTTTTCAAAACCCAAATTGACGGGAAAGATGATTTTAAGCTGTTACTTTTAGGTCAATTTCTCTTAGTTCAACTGTTATGAAAAATAAAGTTTCGGGAACTCACCCAAAATTTAACTGGTTACAAATCTAAATGTTTTTAGTTTTGGAAAGTGGCATCAAATATATTTGGGGAAGCTTGGTGAAGTGAGGGATTTCTCACATAAAAAAATTTGAAAACTCCCTCGGGCCATGAAGGTCCCAAAATTTTCCCAACTTTCCCCAAAGATGTTGAAAACCCCCAGTAGCTTAGTGGGGTTTAATATTCTCAGGTCGTCCCCAAATTTAAAGTGAAAATTTTCCGCCAAATGATACACTTTGAAGAGGCACCCCAACCCACATCAAGGGGGACACTGGGGGAAAATTTCCCCAATTTCCATGAGTGCAAAGTTTATGGTTTTCACAGATTTTTAAAACCTTAACTGAAGAACTCCATTTTGGGAAAAGAGTCCCTGTTTTATCGTTTTTTGGGTTTGGCCTGACTCGGGACAAAATCATAGATTTTTGGCATGTGTCCACACTTGCCACAAGAAAAGGGTATAGGTGGTCCCGCCCGCCCCCAAAAACCCCACACGGGAAAGGGCGGGCAGGACCTTTGCAAGATACATGGTGTCAAGAAAGCTCCATCACCGGGTTTTAAAAACGGGTTCACCCCTCATTTGGCGCCAACCAACCTCTTCGGGCACCAAAACCTGGGGAAAAATGGGGTATTTAAAATCCCAGCACAAAAAAAATTCCCCAAAAAACGGGTTTTTAAAATATATATGCTAGGACTCATGTCTTCCGGGGGAGGGGGGGGGGGATGGACAGAGAGATTCTTAAACTTATTTTCCCCCTTCCCTTTCTTCCTCACAAAATCGTGCCTTTAAAAACTGCTTTATGCATTTCTTTCAAAGGGGGGTGCTTGGATGATGCGGGGCTCTCATCCAATGAACTGAAGCAAACCTCCACTTCTTTGTATAAAACCTGATTATCTCCCATTCCTGCCCACGTTTTTCCTATGGGCTAACTCTACTCTTCTTTCCTCTTGCTCAAGAAACGTAAAAATTATCATACATATTGATATTACGGGGGAAAAATTAAAAAGATAGTCAATCCTTCCCAGCCCACACCCTGTGCAAATCTCATTAAACCCACGAAGGGTTTTTGGATCCGGGTTAATTTGGGAAATCTCCCTCTCCACTTCCCTGCATCAAACCGTTTCCCCTTTTCCCCAAAGGGCTCTGTATGACCCCTACAATTTGGGCCCCTTTCCCCCAAAATTTAATTTAATAATCTAAAAATCTGCCTTTTTTGAGCCACACTGCAATTATTTTTATTATTATTTTCTTATTATTATTTTATTATTTTTATTTTATTATTATTATTATGGAAAATTTAGGTAATTTTTTTTTGGATTTTGAAGAGGGGTCTTCAGCTCCAGTTCCCCTGGATCAAGAACTCTTCAGTAGCATCAAGGTACTGACTGGCCGGGAAGGGGACTACAAGGGGAAAGTGAAGGTGATTCACTCTCCCCGGAAAAGGGCCACCCACCCGACCTAAGCAACAGGCAAGTGAAATCTCCCCTCCGGCCATAATATCCCCTTTTATTATGGGGTGTACCCTTGGGTTGTGTGTACCGGGGTAAATGTATATGTATTATAACAAAAATAAATATTATATTTTATATATATATTATATATATATATATATTTTAAAAATTTTATATATATATAATATATATATATATATATATTTATATAAATATATATTTATAAAATAATATACTTACATTAAAAAAATATGCATGAAAAACCAAACCGGATGGAGGAAAGAAATTGGATTTTTGAAAGACTTCCCTTCATCACTTAAATACATTTCAAGGGGGGATGAAATACTGGGGTATCCACAAATACAAAAGCCACCCAAAAATAGGGGGTATCTACAATCCCAAAGGGCAAATCCAATACTGGGGTTTTTCCCAATACGAAAGCCACACAATACGGGGGTTACTCAAAAACCGGGCGTTTCCCCTATCTGGGTATCTCCCAAAAACGGGGCCCGATCGCAATACTGGGGTATCCACAATACAAAAGCCATCACAATACTGGGGTATCTACAATACCAGGGCGATCGCAATACTGGGGTATCCACAATACGAAAGCCATCACAATACTGGGGTATCTACAATACCAGGGCGATCGCAATACTGGGGTATCTACAATACCAGGGCGATCGCAATACTGGGGTATCTACAATACAAAAGCCATCACAATACTGGGGTATCTACAATCCCAAAAGGAGGGGATCGAAATAGGGGGAAACCACAATCGAAACCCATCACAATACTGGGGTACCTACAATACCAGGGCGATCGCAATAGGGGGAAACACAATACAAAGCCTTCACAAACGGGTTTTTCTACAATCCCCGGGCGTTTCACAAACTGGGGTATCCCCCAATACCGGGCAATTACAATCCCTGGGATACCCACAATACCAGGGCAATCACAAAAACCAGGGAAAACCACAATCCCTGGGGGTCCCGACAATTCCAGGGCGTTCCTAATACCAGGTCAACCACAAAACGGGGACACCCCAAACCGGGGCAACCCAATAAGGGGTACCCACAATCCCGGGCAAAACCACAATACTTGGATCCCCACAATACCAGGAAAACCACAATACTGGGGTCCTTCCCCAACAATACCGGGCCCAAAACCACAATCCCTGGGATACCCACAATACCGGGGGCAATCTTTAATCCGGGCCAAAAAAAATACTGGGGTACCCCCCAAAAACCAGGGCAATCTTTAAAAACCACCAAACCCCACAATCGGGGATACCCCAATCCCTGGGAAAATCATAATTCCGGGCCAACCCAAAAACCGAGGTACCCAAATACCAGGGCTTCAAAATACCGGCCAACCAAAAAACCCGGGGAAAACCACAAACCGGGGAACCACAAACTGGGGAAACCCACAATACCGGGCCCCCCACTTTTCTTGGAAAACCCAAAATACCACCAACCCCAATACGGGGACCCCCATCCGGGCCAACCAAAATTTGGGATACCCCAATACCGGGGCCAATCTTAATACCGGGCCCAAACCAAAATATACGGGGGTACCCACAATACCGGGCCCAAACCCCAAAATTTACTGCGGTATCCCCCAAACCGGGCCCAAACCCAACAATACTGGGGAACCCAAAAACCCGGGCCCAAACCCACAATACGGGGTCCCCCACAAAAACCGGGCCAACAACAAACTGGGGTACCCACAAAAAACCGGGCCCCAACCACAAAAACTGGGGTACCCCCAATACCGGGCAACCAAAAATACGGGGTTACCCAAAATACCGGGCCAAAAACCCAATACGGGGCCCAAAAAAACAAACCAGGCCAACCCCCAAAACTGGGGTACCCAAAATACCGGGCCAACCACAATACTGGGGAAAACCCCACAAAAACCGGGCCCAAACCCAACAAAAAACTGGGGTACCCCCAATACCGGGGCCAACAACAATAGGGGGTTACCCACAATACCGGGCCCAAACCCAACAATACTGGGGAAACCCACAATACCGGGCCCAAACCCACAATACTGGGGTCCCCACAATCCCCAGGCCCCCCCAAAATACTGGGGTCCCCACAAATCCCAAAGGCCAACAAAAAATACGGGGGTCCCCCAAAATCCCAAGGCCAACCACAATACGGGGGTTTCCCAAAATACCGGGCCAACCAAAATACTGGGGTCCCACAATCCGGGCCCAACCACAAAAACTGGGGTACCCACAATACCAGGCCCAACCACATTGGGGTACCCACAATCCCAGGCCAACCACAATACGGGGGAAACCCCAAAAATCCCCAGGCCAACAACAATAGGGGGGTACCCACAATACCAGGCCCAAAAACAAAAACGGGGGTCCCCCACAATACCGGGCCCCAACCCACAATACGGGGGAAACCCACAATACCGGGCCCAACCACAATATGGGGTCCCCCACAAACCAGGCCAACAACAATACTGGGGTACCCACAATACCAGGCCAACCACAATACTGGGGTACCCACAATACCAGGCCAACAACAATACTGGGGTACCCACAATACCAGGCCAACAACAATACTGGGGTACCCACAATACCGGGCCCAACCAAAATAGGGGGTCCCCACAATACCGGGCCCCTAAAAAAAATTTCTGGGGTACCCACAATACCACCAAAAACCCAATCCCGGGGGTACCCACAATCCCCGGGCCCAACAACAAAAACTGGGGACCCCACAAAAACCGGGGGCCAAACCCAAAAATACGGGGTACCCAAAATTTACCAGGCCAACCACAATACGGGGGTTTCCCACAAAAAAAACCCCGGGGGGGGCCCAACAACAAAAACGGGGGTCCCCACAAAAACCAGGCCAACAACAATACTGGGGTACCCACAAAAACCGGGCCAAAAAAAACAATCGGGGGAAACCCCACAAACCAGGCCAACAACAATACGGGGTACCCCCA